TAAGTGATTTTCTTGCCTCAGCCTCCCAAGTAGCTGGAAGTATAGGCACCTGCCACAATGCCCAGCTATTTTTAGAGATGGGGATCTTACTCTGGCTCAGGCTGGTCTCAAACCCCTGAACTCAGGCAGTCCTCCTGCCTGGGCCTCCCAGAGTACTCTGATTACAAGTGTGAGCCACTGTGCTCATCTGTTATTCCTGTTTTACAGATGAAAAACTGAGGCACAGCCAAGTAAAGTAACTTGACTAAGGCCATATAGGAGTAAGTATTAGTGCTGGGGGTTTTTTTTGTTTGTTTTTGTTTTTTTTGAGACGGAGCCTTTGGCTGTCCCCCTGGGTAGAGTGCTGTGGCATCACAGCTCACAGCAACCTCCATCTCCTGGGCTCAAGCAAGTCTCCTGCCTCTACCTCCCAAGTAGCTGGGACCACAGGTGCCTGCCACCATGCCTGGCTATTTTTTGGTTGCAGCTGTCATTATTGTTTGGCGGGCCCGGGCTGGATTCAAACCCACCACCTTAGGTGTATATGGCTGGTGCCTTAGCCACTTGAGCCACAGGCACTGAGCCTAGTGCTGGGATTTGAAGCAAGCATCCTGACTCCAACAGATTTCGTTTTTTTGTTTTTTTGTTTTTTTGTTTTTTGAGACAGAGTCTCAAGCCGTTACCCTAGGTAGAGTGCTATAGCATCATAGCTAACAGTAACCTGCAACTCTTGGGCTCAAGTGATCCTCTTGGCCTCAGTTTTTCTATTTTTAATAGAGATGGGGTCTTGCTTTTTATTTTTGTTTGTTTGTTTGCCCAGGCTATTCTCAAACTTGTGAGCTGAAGCAGTCCACCCACCTCAGCCTCCCAGAGTGCAAGAGAGTTTGTTATTTTTAATCAGAGAGACAGACAATAGTGCTAGACTTCCTAGGTGAAAATTACCACACATCTATCTGAAGTTCTAAAAGAAAAGAGCTTAAAAAAAAATTTAAAACTTTATATACAACACTCTATTTTATATTTCTCATGTGAAATGCAGGGTTGGAAATAATATCTGTTTCACAAGGTAAAGGGGCTTGCCTAAGTATTAGCTGATGTCATTATTATTATTATTATCATAAGCTTTATCTGTATAGCTTTGGTCTGTACTTTCAATAGAGCCTTAACTTTATAGATCAGTGTATAGAGGAAAGCACAAGTCAAACTAGCGTTTGATATGACAACTCTAGTGTTTCTGAAGTGAAGCTCCAGGGGCATTGATTTGGGGCATCTTCCTCTGCCTGGTTTTGTAATCTGTCCAGTGTGGCTTCTGACAGCTTACAAAGATACAGCTCCAAGTATCAGCCCTCTGGGACTAAGCACTGACCGGGGTTGGCTGTTGGAGTGTTCTTGTCTCTCCTTTGTTATGAGTCAATAAAGAAGCAGAAGCTAAGGAGGTACTAAGCAGTGGGAAAGGGGACCTGAGGTGGAGCTTTCTGAACCTGTCCCTTCAGCCCCAGGGTCTGAATCCTCATGAGAAGTCTTTGGCAAAGCCCTGCATGGACTGTCCGCCTCTCTGTCCCGCTGACCCAGGTGTGTGTGTTGCAGGTGGGGCTGGGGAAGAGGAAGTGCCTGTACGCCTTGGAAGAGGGGATAGTCCGCTACACTAAGGAAGTCTACGTGCCCAATCCCAGAGACTCAGAGGCTGTGGATCTGGTCACCAGGTTGCCCAGGGGTGCTGTGCTCTACAAGACTTTTGTCCACGTGGTTCCTGCCAAACCTGTGGGTACTTTCAAACTGGTGGCTATGCTTTGATGCCATTTGGAGCCCAGGTGACAGAAGCTGAGGGTTGAAATGATGATAAGTCCTCCTGAGGAGGAGATGTGCTTGGTGGACAAGTCTCTGCAGGAGACTCTGTGAAATGACTTCCGAGAAATTCTTTGGGAGACTTGACCTGGGACCAAAAATAAAGTTATCCAGTCACAAGCCTGTGCTACTTGGTTACAGACCTGGATGGAATTGCATACTGATTTATTGGTACTTACCTATGTTCTCTAGTGCACACCAAGGGGGATCCTTGAAGCAGGAAAGAGGCCCCATCAGAATGAGGAAATGAGAAGAGGGGGCTTTGGAGGAGGAGATTGCTTCAGTACCACCACCCAGAGGGGAAGGAAGAGGAGAACTCATGCCTGAGGGTTTCATTCCTTCTCCTCTTGGATTCCATAAAGTCCAGGGCCTGAGCCCTGGGAGGAGGGGTAGGGGGAACCAATATAGGAAACAACACAGTCATATTTCTTTCTCTGATCCACATGCAGAGGGAGCTGGGCCTGCAGCCCCAGAGATGGCCACATGGTAGCCCCCTGTCTGCTTCTGCAGGTACAGGCTAGAGAGGGAGCTTGTGGGATGGCAGAAGATCCTCCTCAGAGGTTCGGTCAGGCCTTGTCTGCCCTAGAATATCTAGGACCTTACATGACAAGCCAGAGTAGGGAACAAATGGCTTCCTTCTGCTTATCCAAAGAGCTTGACACATTAAGCCCACATTGTTTTCTAGTTCTTGATTTATTTTCAGCCACAAACAGCTAAGAACCTGGCTTCAGGAATCTGAGTGGGTTTGGGCAGACCTTCATTGTCATACCAACCGTGACCTTTAGAGGCTTGGCTTTGAGTAGAGGGGCCAGAAGGGAAATCTCAGCTGGGGAGGGCAGTCATTCCTGGCTGTTAGAGGTAGATGGTGTTGATGGCAGTCCCAGAGAGGAGCTTATTGAGTCCAGCGGCTTCCTGTCAAGGACTCTTCTTGGCCCTGAAGGCAGGGGTTCCAGGGATTGAGGACAGAAAAACCTCCCTATTCTGAAATTCTGCCTTGAACTTGTTTTGTTAACCTCGTTCTCCGGATACATGATCTTATAGTCTTCACTTCCTGTAAATCCTTGGCAATGGTGTCCTGAGGTTTGTGGGGATTCACTTTGGTATCTTTCTGGGTGAGGGCCGTAGGTACCAGGGCCCAGCTGGGGTAATCCTTAGACAGAGAGATTGGTGGGGGCCACCTTCATAGGCTCAGTGCTGTCCCTTCCAGTTCACTGGAGAAATGGGAAGGGGAAGACAAGAGTGGTTACTCCCTCCTACACAGTGGTATTTCCCTGAGCAGGGCAGGTGGCTGCTTCTTGGGAGGGGTGAGCAGAGCCGGGGTTGGGTGGTGCTGCAGGGAGTGATTTTAGGGCTTCCTCATAGCTTGGTGGCAGCTGGAGGGATGAGAAAGCACAGGCATTAGGCATTCCCACACCCTCCCACCAGGTACATACCACCTTTTCTTTGGGCTGCTGCTTCCTGAGTCTCCTCTCCCCTAACTCTCCTCTCCACTGGTCCTTCTAGAAACTGGTTGGGTCCTAGAGCTGTTGGCTTCCTTCCCCTGGGAAGGCCTCCCTAGCTTGAAGTCTGCCATTGTTCCCTCTGCCCCAAGCGGTAAAGTGGGGCCTCCAGCCAAATCTTGGTGATTTCCCCTAGGGGTCCTTTCCTTGTCTTGACCCAAGGGGCTTTAATTGGGCATTTTGTATAAAAGAGTATTATGTATAAAGCTCTGTTTCTCCAAGGGCCCAAGACTGTCACCTCTCTGCAGGCCCAGAGCCCGAAGCGTTGTGCAATCAGCTGGTGAATTTGCTGCTGCCGATCCTTCTTTCGAACACTCTCATAGCTGGGCAGGTAAGCTGGCTGCCACAGGGGCAGCTGGTGGCTCCCCGGCAGCCCCACACAGAATACCTCGCCCCCATATGGATAGTCCTGTGACAAAGAAAAGCCAAAGAAGCCAGCTTCTATCTGGATCCTCTTTTCCAGAGTGAGCCTAATTTCAGGGATACTATACTGCCTCCTTTCCTCCAAGAAGATGCAGCCTTCCCCTCTCCTGCATTATTTTTAGTCCCTCTAAGTACACTAGGCACCTTACCTGGCTTTAGGACCCAAGCATACCCCTATAACTCAACTCCCCCGTAGAAGCACTACAGATCCTTACCTGCATTCCTAGGGACTCTCGGCTGCTTTCCATTGGCTGGATCACAGTGGAGCATCCCACAGTGCTGAAGTGGGGAGAAGGGCAGTCCTGGGGATCATGAAGGGCAACTCTAGGTGAAGCTCAGGAATTAGGGTCAGCATGCAAAGAGAACAAAGTCCAAACCTCTTCTTGCACCCTCATGTCCTTTTTTCCATCCCTTTAGTTCTCTCCATTGAAGCCAAAGCACAAAGCTCAGGTCCTCAGCATTTCTGAAATGCACTTGGTGTAAAGAGATAACTCTCCTCCCTGGCCACTAGCTCATTCTCTCATGATCTGGCAGTCATCTCTGATGATCTTTGTTTGTTTGTTTGTTTGTTTGTTTGTTTGCAGTTTTTGGCCAGGGCTGGGTTTGAACCCACTACCCTTGGCATATGGGGCCAATGTCCTACTCCTTGAGCCACAGGTGCCGCCCTCTGATGATCTTTGGAGGGAGAGTCAGAAAGCTGCCTCCTGAAGGTATCTCCTCCATCTAGCAGGCTGGTGCCAAGAGTTGGGGGATCAAAGCCTGGGGTGAAAACAGCTCAGATTTCTTTTGCTTTCTATACAGGACACCAAGTGGTGCCCTGTCCCTGGGGAAAGGACTGTCCATACTGTAGTTGCCACTTATCCCTCCCACAGAAATTGGGGCTCAGTACTTTGCCTGGGGAGCTAGGGAAAGGGAGCAGCTCTCAGTCTTGCATCCTGTTTGACATGGCCAGGGAGGGGCCTAGCCAGGATCTTACTAACCCTTTCCACACTGCTGCCCTGACCCTGAGGGAACGCAGGTTGGATGCTGTGGAGTTCTTCAGAGAAAATTGATTCCACAGGCCCCTTCCATACTCAACAGTTGCTTCTTGGCCAGAGCACAGGTGCCCTTTGGTCCAGATTGGGGTGGCAAGGCATGAGGCAAGGGGTTGATGGGTAAAGGTACTTACGTGTTGGCTGGGACTCTGAAAGAAGTGGCAGGAGCATAGGACCTGGCAGCACTGGAGGTTGCGCTGTCGCAGGAGCAGCAGGGTGGCCATGATGAACACCAAAGATGAAACTACCCTCCCCCCCCAAAGGCGCAGTCAGGGGCAGCCTGGACCTGACAAGCATGAGCCCATCTCCTCCCATTCCAAAAGTTGGTGTAGGAATGGCCTGTTTGGTTTGGTATCAGCATGGCAAGGCAAACTGAAGTACAGATAGCTCTCTTTTTGCCACCACATCTGTTCTCTGGGGCAAAGATTTGCAAGGGAAAGCAGAGTAGCCTTATCCCATCTCCACCTTCAGCCCAGGAAAGGAGTACTTTGTATGTATAAAGGAAGTTTTACAGAGGGACAAACTCAGGGGAAGGAGCAGATTCCCTTAAAAACAGTGGATTTTGGGCAGTGCCTGAAGGTCAGTGGGTAGGTTGCTGGCCACATACACGGAGGTTGGCAGTTTGAACCTGGCCTGGGCCAGCTAAAACAACAATGACAACTGCACCACCAACAAAAAATAGCCAGGGGTTGTGGTGGGCACCTGTAGTCCTAGCTACTTGGGAGGCTAAGGCAGGAGAATTGCTTGAGCCCAAGAGTTTGAGGTTGCTGTGAGCTGTGATGCCACAGCTCTCTACCTAGGGCAACAGCTTGAGATTCTGTCTCAAAACAAAAACAAAAACAAAAAAACAAACAAACAGTGGATTCAAGAGGCAGGTGAGGATCCAGGAGTCTGAATTCCCAGTCCCTTGTGCTCAGCCCCTCTCATGTTATCAAAGACTGTAGTATATCCTACCACGGGACTTACAGTGCTCAGTGATCAAAGGGACCTCAGGGATCAAAGACCAACCATATATACCAATCTTCCCAAGTGGCTTGGGGAGGGATGTTGCTCTAGGTGACCCTATAGAGGAAGAAGCTGGGTTTCTAGTTTATGGTGAGGGGCCAAAGTTGCCTCTGCCCCACCCCTGGAACTTAGAATGGCAGTGGGTACTCACCAGTGACCACGACTATGGCTAGGAGGCTGTTGTCCATGGTGATCTCTCCGCGTGGAGAAGCAGTGGCAAGGGATGTCAAGAAAGGGCATCAGCCTTGAGTGCAGCCAGCAAGCCCACAAGGCTGCCCTCCCCCAGGTACCACACCCCTCCCCAGGAACCCTGGCCCAGAGGAACAGTTTCATTCAGAGCAGGGGCATCTGCAAACAGCTCTGCAGGCTCTCAGCCTCGCCTGCCCCTGCTTGTCCTGGTCAACACCATGCCATGGCCTAGTGTTCTATAGGTGGCACTGCCTTCTGCATGCCTGGCAGCTGTGAGAGTCCCTCTCTAACCTTGGGGTGAAAGCGTTAGCGGGAATAGGCCTGGCTTCTGCTGAACCTGACATCTAGGGGAGCTCCACTTGCCCAGATCTGTGCACTTCTCAGTTCCAGATCCCTCCCAGCCTGACTGCCCATCTCCACTTCCCATTGGCCCAGGTAACTGGGCTCCGGGTGCCAATTGGCTGTCTTTTGGTCTTGGCTTCCACCTTTAAAGGAGCCACGATGTCCATGGTTGCCCTGGAAACCGAACACGCTGGCCACAAAATACAAAAGCCTCTCTGCCCAGGCTCTCTTCCCTCCAAAGCAGTTATTGTGCAGCTCTTGGGGCCCAGGCTGCCTGAGCCTGCTCCCTGCCCCCACCCATGTCCTGCCTGGGCTGAATCCTGATCTTGACCCCAGGGGCCCACCCAGGGGAAGATTTCAAAGAAGCCACAAAACCCCTGAGCCTCCAGGCCTGAGCTAACCCAACAGAAAGATGGGGGTTGGGGAACACTGTCTGCCAGAACTCAGGCAGAGAAGCCAGACAGGCTCACACTTGACCTGAACAGGGAAGAGAATAAAGAATGCCTCTATCCCCCAAGCACACCCTCTGACTAGGTCAGCAGTCCTGCAGCCTGGTCTTGAGTCCTGCAGTGCTTCTAACTCAAGGCCATCAGAGCAGCTGGGGTGGGGCTAGACTTCCGAATTTCTCATGCCTGCCTGCTTTAAAAA